ACATGTTCTCTTTTTTTTATTTAAGAAGGTTTTGATTGAGTGATGAGTTTGCACTCTGACGAGTAGCACAGATGCAATAACAGAGAACCGACTCTGCAAATTGTAGGAGTGGTACGCTGGAAACAATGAAAACAATGAAAACAGCACGTGATAGATAGCTCAGTCAAAAGGTTAACGGTAACTCACAGACAAAACGTCTTGTTTTTAAAAAGTGCATTCACAAACATGACAAATACTCTCAACTCATGATGTCTATTTTTATGTGATACAAAATATGCATACCTGTTTTTAGATTTGTCTGTATTTATATACATAGATATTTCTTCAAAAGGATCACTTTTTTTCTTTTTACAAAGGTTAAAAGCAGGGTTGTGGTCATAGCAGCTTCGGATATCTCTAGCCTCTTTACCATGTAACGAGATACACATAGTCTCAACAGATATCCAAATAAAACCTACGATTTTCTCTGTTGTTCAACTCAAAACGACATACCGTCTTTATTGAAAGAGATATTCATCAGTGAAGCCTGCAGTTTAGAAAAGAAATGGATCAATAAAACGCTTGGGCCATTAAATATATTTTTGTATACCCGCTTTTTTGTCAATATCATAAATACTAAAGACACAGGACAATATTATAAGACAATGCTGGGAGACTAAATGTAAAGATTAAAATAGTTCAAACATTATTTTTTTCAAGTTTTCTAGTTCATGAGAAAAAGAATATCAGGCGAGCACAGAAACACTATATTTCAGTCTTTTCTTCAGTCTATCCACGGCCCTTTTATATTTAAAAGAGCAATCATAAACAAGGTTGCCAGACAAAGGCCATACTGTCTTTAACTCTTCTGTTTTAGTCCAGTCCAGACAAGATTCTTGCCCATTATAAATGAGGCAGGATCTTGGTTTTCAAAATAATTCATAAAAGCAGTCAAACATACTGATAAAAACCAATAAGTACCATGCAAATCTTGCAAGACGACATATTCTCAAACAAGAGACAAAATATTCTTCGTATAGGCGAAATATCAAGTGAAGAGGGAATGGATGAAAGGCAAAGACCTCTAATCAATACTAAATACTATATTTCCAAAACCAAACAAAAAATATTTAATCTGTACATAATATAGTACGCATGAGTTCAGACTGGATCAGCAGTTTATTTCCTTCTTGTAAGACTCTTAGTCTTTGCCAAACGCCTACCTTGGAATAATACAGAAAAGTATTTTTAATTGATCCCAATCTCTTTGTTCTCCTCCATAAATCTGGCAAACGGACGGATGGACCCGACATCCATACCAGCCTTCTCCATACCCGTCATGGAAGGGCTGTTTCCGGTGTGAACACGGTCCATTCCTCCCGGCATGGGTCCCAATGAAGTGATTCCTGGGCCGCCGAGGCTGACAGGCAGCTGGTTGATGCCTCCATTCTGGATCACAGAGATCTCATTGTTCTTCATGGCAAGCCCGTTGGTGATTGCGGCGGCGTACTGGTTCCAGAAGCCCGGGTCGACGTTCATGGCCCGAGCCGCGAGATCCTTCTGGAACATCTCGCTGAACTTCATGGCGTCCCCACCCAAGAGGGCCATGGGATTCTCTACGGACAGTCGCCGACCCCTTCGGGCTGGAGCGTTGTTCCACATGTGTGTTCCCATGTGTACCTAAAATTAGCAAGAGAATAAAAAGAACATCATGGGTGTTATTGGGAGACCTTAACAGTTCAAGGCAAATATGAGATGCACACATTTTATGGATGGGAAAGGTTGTAGTACATCATTTTATATGAAAGCAAATGTTTAAATGTACATAAAGTGCACAGATAACAAAAAAACAGTAAAGAAGCAGCTACATTTTGGCCAGAAGACCAGAACCAGACACAAACCGTGGTGGCAAGAGGGTGGGGACATAAAGTACAAAGGTCTTTAGTCGATCCCAGAGTGTTACTTGTTACATAGTATGCATCTTTTCAACCACAAAGATTCAGGTAAAATCCTAAGTGATGCTGTATTAAACTGGATCATACCTTCAGATTGCCCTTTGTGGTGAAAGCCCTTCCACAAATAGAGCAGGCGAAAGGTTTTTCCCCGGTGTGTGTGCGCTCGTGGATTTGCAGAGCACTGGCTGAGGAGAAATTCTTCCCACAGGCGTGGCAGTTGTGCTGCTTAGGAGTGCGTCGTGGAGGTGGGGGAGCCAACATCGGATTGATGCTGGGGCTCATGGTGCTCTGGGGCGCTGCAGCAGGAACATGGATGCCCGCCGGATGGTGAGAGTTGTCGCTCAGAGACATCGACCTCCCGTGTCCGTTCATTTCCATTTTGATCATGTTCGATGCAGTGCTGGCCAAATTAGGAGTGCTCAGACCTTAAAACAGAGAATTTAAATGCATGTTAGAATAATGTAGCATTAGAGTTACACAGTCACATTTTTTAAACTGTGAGATATGGCTACAAGATGTATATATTAGACTTGAAAACTTAGAAATTACACCTCTTTGTAAAACCCCACTGCATTATTTAGGGCTAATAACACTTTTTTGTCTATTTATATTATGAGACTACATTTTGTTCAACTTAAATGATGCATAATGTTTAAGTTCATTTTGCACATACACACCTCGATCTCTATTTAGAAACAGCATGCTGAAGTGGCTCTCCTCCTTGATAAAGTGCCTGCCAGGTTGAGTGGCAGTCAGGTCAAGGGCCCCGGTGCCTTCAGTTGCAGAGAGCGGAGATGGGGTCTCTGATTTTTCCGACTTCACTGTTGCAAAGCCAGACAAATTGTTCTCCTGGCCCTCTCCTACTATGGTGGTGCTGTTGCTGTTGATGTTATTGTTGAATGCAGCTGGGGATTTGGATCGCAGGCTCTCGGAATTGCTGTGAGCTGGGGAAAAATGCTGCATCGAGCCGGAGGACTCAGACAAAGCAGGGCTCCCCAAGCTTTGACCTTCAGCATCCCCCACAGCAGAGAGGGAATCAGTGGCAAAGCAATCAGTTTCTCCTCCAAAGCTGATGCCGTTCTGCGTAGGCTTCTGACCAAACGAACGGGTCATGTTGGCAGTGGAGTCGATCATCTTCATCTGGTTCTCCATTGCCGCAATGCTTGAAATTATGGAAGTTGGTGGGGAGCACCCAGGTGAATACGGTTTACATGGGTCTACTTCTCCCTCTTTGAAGTCGGGTTCATCTTCCATAGCTTGCTCCATTTCATCCAGAAGGTCGTCATCATAACTACTCATCGCATCCATGCTCCTCTCATCAAAGGAGAGGTCAGTGTCCATCTCCTGCAGGCTTTCTGGGACAGGGGTGTTTGGTATCTGCCCTCCCATGTGCATACGAATGTGTTGCTGCAGCACGACGGCATTGGTGAACTTCTTCTGACAGATAGGGCAGGAGTGTTGGACCCGGAGTGGTGGTTTGGATCTATGGACACCAAAGTGTGTCTTCAGGTTTCCCTTTGTGGTGAATGCCCGCCCACATATCTTGCATTTGAAAGGCCTCTCGCCAGTGTGGATACGGTAGTGCATCTTGAGGGCACTCTGGCAGCTCAGAATGCGATGGCAGATGACACACTGGTTTGGATCAGTCATCTTCTTGTCAATGTTCTCGACAAGCTGCTGCAACTTTGATGTCTCCGAGGTTTGCATAGAGTCTAGGAGGCCTCCAAAGGGAAACTTGGCCTTAAACTGGTCTGAGAGCATGGGAAGGACAGGATGGGAGACATGGCTAGAAATTGAGCTTGGGCTAGTGATGGGTTCAGTGAACTGGCCACTACTGGACGATGAGGTTGAGGTGACGGTGGAGGAAAGGACCACTTGAGTTAGTGTAGTTGTGGTGGTGGTGGTGTTCTCTCCTGGCCTAGTAGAGCAGCTTGGGGGAAGGAGAACACCTTCAGGTTTCAAGAGAGGAGGTGCATCACTACCTAGACTGGGCTTTGGGGAGGGGGACATAGTGGTCATGCCAGAGTCAATAGCAATATTAGGGGACAAAGATGCACAGTCGCTTAATGGTGGAGAATACCCTTGAGGGGACCTGTTAAGCGGTGTGAGGCTTAGAGACTCACCATAACCTCCCATCATACTCGGCAGCGTAGGAGGCAGCTGGAGCCCAACGGAGGTGGGATTTGTGGAGAGGATCTGTTTACTGTCGAGCCATGTGGTTACAGGTTTTTCCGGGGGAAAAGACATTCCATACGGGATGCCTGAGCTTGTGGGTACGTTGTCCAAGTACTCTGGCACAGGGTAGGGGTTCATCTGAACATGTGGGTATTTCTCTTTGTGCCTCTGGAAGTGAACTTTCAGATTTCCCTTAGTGGAGAAACGGTTTCCACATATGTTGCATTTGAAGGGCCTTTCTCCAGTGTGTGAACGCAGGTGGATCTGTAGGGCGCTGTCACTGCCAAACACCTTGGCACAGAACCGACACTTATGCTTGAAGAAGGGGTCTTCAGAGCTGGGCTTAGTGTCAAACACAGACACATTTGGGGGCTTCCCCTTGCGGTGCTTCATCATAGCAGAGAGGGGGTCAAGCGCATTGGCTGTGGCTGCTATGCTGGCCAGCGGGTTGGGGAAGATCACGCTGCTGGATGAGCTGTGAGGTATCAGCGGTAGATTGGAGGCAGAGCTCATGAGGCTGCTGTGGCTGAGCGAAGGAGGGGTGATGGAGTTCCTGGACAGAGCTGAGCTGCTGATGCCACCACCTCCTGTTATACTACTGCTAATGTTGTTTGTGACTGATGATGAACAGGAGGGGAGTAGAGATGACAATCCGTTGCCACTGGACGAGGGAAACACCAAATTATTTGAGCACGTGTTGGGTATTGAAGAGTTAGATTGCTGACAGCTACTGGGTGTTTGAGAGAGGGGCCCTTCCATCCCTGAGGTCAAGGGTGAAGGGCCTTGAGCGCTGAGCGTGGCTGGCAACCTCACAGGCATCTGATGGACAGGGGGAGTGATGAAGTTGTGTAGTTGAAGCTGACTTGCGATAGGAGGGGCACAGGAGGAAACAGGCCCTTGGTTTCCAGCAGCATTGCTGTGATGGTTGTTTAGAGCAGGCTGTGATGCAGACTGCCTGTTCATCAGTGCCACCTGACTGCGTATCTGTTCTATCAGCTGCAGCTGGTGTATCTGCTGCTGCTGGAGGGCCATCAGCTGGTCCAGGATCATGGGAATAGCCATGGTGGAAACCCCACTGCCCACTGCTGCCCTTACGCTCTGTGAAAACTGGGCGACTGCAACCCGGGTGCCATGCAGGGTCTCCAAGGTAACATTGGTGCTTGGCATGGCGTAGCTTGTAACAGCGGAGGGTACCACATCATTGAGCTGAGGTAGGGAGCCGTCTGGTTCAGGAGATGTCACATCTGTCTCGTCGAGATCCATATTTTTTTCTGGTGAAAGCTCTAGCTCCATCTGCTCATCCTCGTTTTCTTGGAGATTGACCCCACTTAGGGTTGCTGTCTCTGGGATGTCCTCCCCCTCACCAACGAGACTGTGGTTGCCCTCCCTCGGGTCCTCGCTGTCAGCCTGTTCGCTAGAGCAGCTGGGTACAGGGGAGAGCTCTGTAGTATATTCTTGGGAGGGGATAGGTGTGTTCTCATTGTCATTAACTATGAGCACCAGGGGGCTTTTGGTGCAACATTTTAAATGTTCACAGAAGTCTGACCACTTGAAGAACTCAGCGCAGCACTTCTCACAAATGTGTGTCTCCTCACTGCCGCTGCGGCTCTCATTCCCACTGTCTGCGTCTTCCAGCACCTCACCTAGGGCTAAAGGGAGTGGAGGGGGTCAGGAGAATGGAGGGGGAATGGAAAAGAGGGAGGAGAGGGCAAAAAAAGAAGAATTAATGAATAAATAATCGATAAAGAATCCAAACATATTTTGCAGTGCAGTGCTGCACAAATTTAACCTTTCATTTTTTTTCCTCTCTTTTAACATAAACAAAATCAATATTATTTTTATTTTTTTACTCCTAACAAATTGCCCTAGTTCACCAATTCTCAAGACCCAGGTTTGTGCCTTCACACCCTCTCCATAGAGCAGCTAATAATTTTCTTTGTGCAATCCATCAAATTATGAGGGCCTATCAATTGTGGATACTGCCGCTTAATGAAATTCCATAGAACCTATTGATTTCCAATATTTCATACAATTTGCGGCTGCCTCATCTGTTGGGTACAAATCAGGACTTTGATGGCCCTATTAGGATTCCCCTCTGCTATAAAGCCCAGTCATTTCCACCTGAATTTCAAATGCCTGGGCCTTTTCATTTAGCATTTCAAAGGTAATACTTTAGCCTTGAATCTAAGCAAGGGACTATACTGGAATACTCTTTTCTTATGATGTCAGGAAGAGTGATTTGTCAGTGTTGCAAAAGCAGAAATCGGATGAAAATGTAGCACTTAAAAACGTCCTGTACCATTCGCCTTTAATTTGACCATTTACAATGTATGTTACCAATGTATACACATACAAATGATACATATCATGCCCACTTTCAAATGCTTTTGGAAATGTTTTGAAATATACAACATTGCCTTTCAGTTAAGAAATGTATCTGTCTTTCTTTCCCTCCTTCTCCTATGCTCTCTAAAATGAGACTCAACAAATTTCATGCTAGTGCCATGGCAGCGCAGTCTCTTGATTAGTTACACATGTTTAATCACAGTTGTAGGAAGCCACTTCCTCTTCCATACGCAACCATCAAGAGTCAAACAAACCGACGCCACACGCTCTGAGCAAAGACTAAATTCACACCTGATCAAAACCGTGCAAAAATGCCCTCCCATTTTTGTTTATTTTTTTTGTTTAAACATGGTTATACTCTATGTGTGTGTATATGTCTTTCTTGGCCCTATATACATTTCCCTTTCATAATGAGTGGGAAGTGAGCTCAATCACTGCCACAGCAACCTGCACATACTCTATTTCAGAGTCTCCTGTCCGGTATTTAGTGAAATACCCAGGATAATTCTGGCGATACCATTATTTAGCTACAAAATGAATTATGTTATATACTTAAAACTATAAAAGGGTGATTTATTACACACAAATACTTTCCCTATAAAGACACTTTATAAAACAAAGTTGATTGATGACTTAATCATTTTGCCAAAATAGAATCAGAGCTACAAAAAGTGCAAAAGAAATGGACTGTAATTATTTGTAAACGGTGCAACTGCATATCTGTGTATAACACCCACACACACACAACACACACACACACAACACACACACACACACACACACACACACACACACAACACACACACACAAACACACACGCGTGCACACACACACACACACAAACAAGCAAACGTTCCTGAATAAAGTTAGTAATGTATTTAATTTACGCAAATGTTCTACCACTAATCATAACAGTGAAGCTCAACCAATAAGCCAACAAGCCTGATCTGTCAATATAAAAGATAAAATGACACGTAGTCGTAGATGGTGACATAACATCTAAGAACAGCTAAGATAAATACTGCCATGGAAGATTTCACATATT